ACAGCCGCCGCGAGTAACGCTTAGGCCTGTCTGCAGCTCTGGGACCTGCTGATGCCCCAGGAGCCCCTGAGGGGCAGAGTCAGCAAGCAGTGGTGTGACATCGGCTTCCAGGGGGACGACCCCAAGACAGACTTCAGAGGAATGGGCCTGCTGGGGCTGGTCAACCTGGTGTGAGTGCAAACAGCTGTTTGGTTCCCTCTGACCCCTCTGCAGTGCCTGTGTTCCCTCTGGCTGATGCTGTGTCTAATCAAAGCTGAGCAGGATCAATGGAAACAAGAGTTTCCCAAACACTCAGCACTGCTCGTGGCTGCACAGCCACAGACGTGTGGTTGGGTGGGGACAGCAAGAGGGGGGAGGGACACAAAGGTGCCCCAGACACCTTGTTTTTCTTGCCATGTGATAGATTTGGTAGCTTGTAACTAACCTGTCAAGAGCTTTAGAAATTCCCAACAATTACTGTAATGAAGAATAGTCAAGTTTACCTATCTCTGCCAAGCTCATTTGTGCACTGCGGTGAACTTCATGTTTAGTGTGCAGATCTCAGCCATTTGCACTGTGTCTGCAGTGTTGGATGGTCTGGATACGGTTTAATTTTGTCACGTTCCCTTGGCTTCCACTGTGTGCCATTTCTCAGTGCAGAGCAGTGCTCAGCTGTAGCTAGGTCCTGCCGTTCTGGGCTGAGCACAGTGTGCTCTGTGGGACGTGCAGTGAGGGAAGAGCCTGTTGTGCACTGCAGGTACCTCAGCAGGCACCACCCCAGCGAGGCTCGGCGCATCCTGGCGCGCTCCAACCACCCGCGGCTGGGGTAAGTCATTGCTGCTTGTCTCTGCCTTGTTCTGTGAGGAGCCCCTGGGAAGGTTGTCAAATATGTGTCCAGAGACTAGAGATGGGAATATTCATGGGATTTTCCTTTAAAGAATGAAAAAAGGACCTAAACAGGAGCACAGGACTCGGCTTTGGGCTGGGAACTATGTGCAGCCTTTTTTTTCCCTAGAGTAGATTCATTGGGATAAAAATGTTGTAAAAAATTGTCTTTGGGTACCACAGTTGGTGCCTTTAACATCACAGTTAGCTTTATTTGTAATAGGCTTAGATCAGGGTTAGTTTAATGTCATTTAATGCTGATTTGTCTCCTTACTGCTCCTGTGTTGGGATGGAATAGATTAGCTCCTAAGGTCCTTTCTTTTGCTAGGTTTCTGCTCTGTAATAAGTATATACAAACAGGTGTTTTGTTGTTGTTTAACTTCATTTTGGAAAACTTTGCATAAACATTCAGCGGATTTTACAGGGGAATATACTCTAAAACCAGTCAGATAATGTAGTGTGATGCATCTAGTGCTCCGTTAATCCCCTGCCAGGAGCAGCAGTCCTGTGTGATGCTGCCCCATGCAGCTGGGCCATGGCAGAGGTGTCTGAGACTTTCTGCTCAATTAGATAACCACATACCTGACACAAATTAATTCTTTTCTCTCCCTTCTGCCACAAACACATAACTGTTCTGTGAGGATTTCTGTTGTGATTACTTTCTACATCATCCAACAGAAAACCATTTTTTTTCAACTTGAACAGGTTGAAATAGCCATTCCATTTTTTACTGTAACAGTGTGTTTGACACTCAATTTTTAGTACTCGAGCAGATCTAAGGACTTCAAATGAGCAGACTGAGATCACTGTTGATTAGCCTTACCATCTCAATACAATCACAGTGTTAGGGGTCGGAATGGACCTTACAGATCACCCAGCCCCAACTCCTGCCCTGGGCAGGGACACCTCCCACCAGAGCAGGTTGCTCAAGGCTCAGCCAACCTGGCTGTGAACACTGCCAGGGTTGGGGCAGCCACAGCCTCCCTGGGCAGCCTGGGACAGTGTCTCACCACCCTCACAGGGAAAACTTCTTCCTGAGATCTAACCTAAATTTCCCTCCTTCAATTTGTGCCCATTGTCCCTTGTCCTGTCCCTGCAGCTCCTAACACAGATCCCTCTGCAGCTTCCCTGGAGCCCCTCCATTATTGCCCTGTCAGTATTGCCAAGGGAAGCATTTGTCATGCTGTTGTACAGAAAACTCTCGTTTTTACATCACTTTTCCATGGCTGGATGCACCAGGGAATGGTCTCTAGGCTGGAGTCAGTTTATCATCAAGAATGGCAGGAAAACCTCACTCCTAAAGCTATCCTAGAACAGAATGTCAGGGAAGCTTCTGAGTCTTTCAATGCATAAGATAAAACAAAGCCTTGATTCCCAATGCAGCTATTCCTATGCAATAGTTGGGATCAACCTGACTGAGATGGCATACAGCTTGCTCAAGAGTGGTGCTCTGAAGCCTCACCTGTACAACGTGGTCCTCGGGCTGCCTCGGATGGAGCACTTCCACCAGTTCTACTGTGAGTGTGTGAGCTGTGTCCCTGCAGGGGAGGCTGACGGCACAGAGCGTTTTCTGGGAGCGTGTTCCTCCCAGCAGCACTGGAAATGCCTCTGGGGCTGGAGCACGGTGCTGCAGGAGTGGACACGTAAGGGATGAGTTGTGTGGCTCTCTGTGCCTCAGAGTGCTCAGTGTCTGCAGGTTTATGTTTTCATCTGTCAGAACAGTGTCCCAGTGCTAGCTGTGGGTCAGGGTGGGACAGTCCTGGTTCTAAGGAATTAAAGGAGAGTCTGAAGGATCCTTCTGGGTCTGGCTGGAGCGAGGCACGAAGTTGTGGAGGTGATTTTTGCAGATCTGTATTGTGTTTTCTTGACAGGTTATCTGGTGTATGAGTTTGACAAGTTCTGGTTTGAAGAAAATCCAGAAAGCATAATGCACTTCAACCAGTACAGAGAGAAATTCCATGAAAAAATTAAGAGACTTCTGCTGGATTGGAATGTGGTCCTGACCTTACAACATACAGAGAAACCTTAGCTCCTCTGCAGTGTGTGAGGCTCTGTATCCAAACCCAACGATGCACTTGGCTGGAAGTTCTGAGTGTGTTACCAGAAAACGGTTTAACAAAGAACTGTTCTTTGCATCTAAAGGACTGAGCAAAACTCTGTTAAGAAAGCTTGGACAATCAACCTCTGTTTACAGGTACTTACATGCTAATCTCCAAAGGGCAGCTCCTCAAAAAGAAAATGAAACAAAAACCAACACATAAACCCACCCACAGATCTCCAGAGCCTCTGGATCACTTACTTCCATGTTTCCTTTGGTACCTCTCTCGGTGCAGGAACATGGCACAGGTATTTATGCTGCATCATGTGTTCTGTTCATAGGTTTGACTGTTAAATGTCTTTTGTAAGACAGATGAAGTTCAGCTTTTCAACTTTGAATTTAAATTCCAACTTTCTGACTTCATAGTTGAAGTTAAGTTCTACTTTGAGTTGAAACTACTCTGATTTTTAGACCTTTTGCATTCTTGTTCATGTAACATTCTTGTTCACCCATCAATGTTAATTTATGTGTAATGAAGAGGCCCCTGAAGGGGATGAATTAGTTGTTTAGCATTTTGGAGAAGAGGCTTAACCCATCAGCACACTGAATACTCACTAGAAATTACTTCGGGCTAAGGAAGTGCTTTGTCTGTGGATCTGTACCAGCCAATTCCTGTGCTTGGAAAAAGTTTAGTTTGCAAACAAAGAGAACCACAAGTCATCAGCACAAGGCTAAGGTCCTCAGGGTAAAGCTACTCCTCCTAAAGA